AGAGCTCGCCTTCCCGGTGACTCAGTGCCTCGCAGGTTGGTGGCTGCGGGGGCACCCGCCGTGGCCTCCTGCGGAATGAAGCAGAGCGAGGGGAGCAGGCTAGGAGAGTGCCCCCGGGCCCCAAACGCCTTCACCCTCTCCCCGAGGGAAGAGTCGACGGGCAAGGCCTGTGCCTGCGGCCGGCTGGCCTGGCCCCGGCTCGGGGTGGCGGGACTCCTGGAGCAAGGAACGACCCTCAGCTCTAGCAGACGCGGCAAGGTCCCCGCGTGATCCGTGGGAGTGGGGCAGCCTGTCCACATGTGGTCCCCTGGGAAACCCCTGTGCATCTCCCTCGGGGACAAGGTCCCCCGCCTTGGAATCTGCCCCGCCCTGCACCGGACCGCCTGCTAACTCCCTGTGCTGAGGTCAGAACGGGTGTCTTTCACCTCCTCTGGGGATGTCAGGGCAGCCCGCAGTGGGGTCGTGGGTCTGAAAAATTCGTATCAGAAACCCACTAGGAGAAAAGTCTCTGGGGGTGGGGTGCACCGTGTGGGACTCCCACAATGGCCCCGACGGTGGGGGTGGAGTGGCTTATTGGCCCTGATAACAGGCCCAGGCCCTCTTCCCAGGACCCCTGCCGCGCACGCAACTCTGGCTCTGCAGGGTACAGGGAGCCGGCCGGTGGCCCAGCCCTCACGCCTCGGAGCCCGCCGGGGTGGCCGCCCCTTCAGCCCGCGCCACGCAGAGCTGGGGACCTGCCTCCAGGGGGCGCTGCGGCCCTTCCCGCCGGCTGCTCAGTACAGCCCGCGGCAGCGCTTTCCCGACTCCGGTCAGCCCCGCGGAGATGCGCTGTTCTACAAGATGCAGCCCTTAGCTTTTTGCCCTTGCGTCCGCACCCTCAGCTCGGCCTAGAACACGCAATTGTCCCCTGGGCTCCCCAGACGTCCTTGCTACTCCGGGGCCAGGACGCAGGCACCCTGAGCAGAGCTGAGCTCCCGGTTCCTCTAGGTTGTGGCGAAAACGGCAAGCAGTGCGGGAAGTTGAAACGCAGAAGGTCCCAGCCGCACCCTGGCTGAGAAGGGAGGCGAGGTCCCCGGAGGTAGCGGCTGGGATTCCTGGAAAAATCCAAGGTTTCCGTAAAGATTAGACGTTTCTAGGATCCGAAACCGAGTGGGACAGGCTGGGAGTCAACTCCAGGGAAGTTTGTGTCTGACACCTGCTCGCTGCTTCGCTGGCAGAGCCTCCCGGGTGGGCCGGGGGCGGGGGGTGCAGGGGCCTGCGCCGCGCGCCCGCTCCTCCTCCACCTCCTCCGCGTTTCCTCCCGCTGGCCTTCGTCCCGGCCTCCCCCGGCGTAAACTCGCAGCGGTCGGGGTTCAGGCAGCCACTGCTCGCGCGCCCCTCGTCGGTTGGCCGTTTCCCTGGGAGCGTCCTTGGTGTCGAAAGCCCAGAGCCGCGAGGACAGCAGATGACCCGGTCAGCGGAAATCTCAGAGCGAGCCAGCAACCCAGGTCCCCGGCGCTGCGGCGGGAGTGGAACGACTCCGTGGAGACACAGCCCCCGGGGCGCAGCTGGGCCACTGCGGACTCCGGGATTTCCCTGTTCGCACACCCGAACCGCACTACTCGCCCGTGGGCCCGGTGGCCTGTCTTCTGCACCGGGTACTGCTGGAGGCGGGCGGGGAACCTGGCGGGTGACTTGCTCTTGGGTGGGCCCCGCAGTGCCTGCGCCCTAGGCGCCGGCCGGGACGACGGGCTGGCTGGGTCTGAGCCTGGAGAAACGTCCAGGGCCCGCCCGGGGTGGGCGCGGAGGTGGCCTAGGAGGGCCCGCGGACGGTGCTGCGCCGCTCTAAGCCTCCCGGTCGCTCGCCACGCCCGGCGCGCACCTGCCCTTCGAGGCGGCAGGGCCAGCAGGCGGCCGAGGCACGGCCGGGCCACGGGGCACCCCCTAAAGCCGGAGCTCACCGCCTCTTCCTTACCTATTAAGCGACTGTAGTCGTGCCCAGACTCCATTTTGGAACTTCGCAGGCTGGGGGACGAAGTAAACACATTTATGGAAAAACCCCGGGGTTAGGAGGTTTGCGGAAAGAGGGCGCAGCTCGTGGGTGGTTGGAAATTCTGTCTATCCCTCGGGAAAACCACACGGTTCCGCACCCAACGTACACACACTTAAGGGCCGGAAAGGTGTGAAGCCCGCTGCTGGGGAGCTGCCTCCCCTTTGATGAAAAGGAAATGTGAAGAGCAGAAACGCTCTTCAGGTCACCATCCCGTGAGACTTGGGGAGTGTGAAAGGAGAGAAAGCTCCCTCCAAATTTCCCAAATTGAGAAAAGCTGCGAGAGGAATTAAACAGTTGGAGAGAGGGGACCGCAGGCATCCCGCAGCTGAGGCTCAGGACTGAGCTCTAAAATGAAAGCACCCCTATGGGACCCACCAGGGAAAACATTTAAAAAAAAAATCTAAATGCTTAGGCATTCTGCTGCTTCCGTTCTGTGTGTCAAATCTACTTTGAAGCAGTTAAGTACTGTAGGATATTAAACACTCGGATCTCCGTTTCAAGCTCACTTTTTAATCTTTGCGAACTTAAAAAGGGAAAGACAGAAAAAAAGATCTGCGACCCCTGTTATGCTTTACCAAAGGAACGAAAAATTCTCTCCACTTCGGCATAAATAAAATAGAAAGATTTTTATCTTAAAAAACATATCTGGGAGCTTCTGCCTGATTCCCCAATTACTGCTTAGCCTTTTGACTGTTTTTAGCCTCTGCTTATATTTGTCTACTTCCCCGCACAATTGAGATTTTTAAAAATTGTCCTTTGGGGAGTCTCATCCCAAACCATCTATCGACGGAACACTTTTGAATTTTACAGCCTCTTCGTTGAAGATCTACGTCCTCAAAGTCCGGGCTTGCCGTGGGAGTAACGCAGATCCCCTCTGGCGACTCGTCTGGGACAAAGGGCGTTTTTGCTTAGTTTTGATCACACAGATTTTATCTGAAAAGAAGCTGCTTAAAATGGGTGTATCATTTCCTTCCTGTCACTCGGTCACCCCCATTCCAGAGTGGTTGAGGTGCCTTCTGCAGTTTCACTCACACAAGACCAAACCTTTAGAAGAACTTGAAAAATGTATCACTGTACTTTGAATTCGATTAACCTTCCTGGCGACTGAACAGTGAACTCAATTTTTGCTGGGAATGAAGATATGAATGTTTTGAAAAACTAGAATCGCATTTTTCTAAATTTTAAAAATGATTGTTCTTCACCCATTCCAGATGGATTCTTTATTATTTGCCAATGGGTTGCAGATGCCCACTCCTTTAACCAAGTTGGTTTACTGCGTATGAAATGAACATTTGCTGATTAAAGCTTAAAAATTGGAAGAAATTTCTCCTGGGGCATTCCACAGGTCTTTGCAATAATTACTAAATTAGTCAATTGTCACCTCTATAAACAAACTTCGTTTAGAAAACAGCAGGCGAAAGCAGACTACACATGTAGTCATAATTGACCAAAAGTATGTACAAAGCTCTTTAAAATTGGGGAAAGAGTGATTTGTGCTGGAGAATACAGTCTAGAACTGATCGATTTTACTCTACGAAGAAGGTAGTTGTAGTGAGTATGTTAAGATGTGCAAATTAAGCCGGCAAGCGCACCAAATAAAACTACTAAATGTCCTTTGGGTTTCTCTGCAGGGTCTTTGAGAGGCAGAGAAGCAGTAGTTGAGTTTCTAATAGTATGAGGAAAAGTGGCGATGAGAAGGAAGAGGGTGGGCTTTGTGTTTTGTGTGAGTTTTGAACTGAGTCACCTACAACTGCGTCTCTGTAACAGGGAAACCTCAAGCAAACCTGTGTCTTTAAGACTCAGTTGCTATCCAAACACAAGTAAACAGAGTGGACCATTAGCAGACGCCGGGCGCGAAGGCGGAGCCAGGGCGCTTAGGGCCCCGCGCGGCGGCGGGACGCCGGCCCGAAGGGGAGGCGGGGCCGCTACTAAAGCCCTGGACTCCCAGCCTCGGGCAGCCTGGGGAGGGACGCGGGCGGGGACGGAGCTCTGCGCGCTTACTGCTGGAGGGTGATGGCCCTGCAAGGCTGCGGGCTCCAACCTCATCCGAAGTCCTCAGCGAGAGGCTCGCCGAGGCACGGGGTTCTGGACGAGAGCTGAGCGCCCGCTCCAAGCACCCCGGGTCTTTACATAGTCGGCGTTCACAGACTCGACGAAGACGTGGATCCGCTCTCGCTTTCGCTGCTCGCGGTCCTCCAGATCATGTCCGCGACTCCCGCCACTCCGCGCGGGAAAAGAATTTTGCCAGACGTGGACTCAGTGATCTTTCCAAGCTGTGCGCCTAGCTGCCTGGACCGGGTCTGAGCCGGGCTGCCCAAGCAGACCTTTCTCCCGGAGGTGAGTGTCTGCTCTGGGAAGGAGCTGTAAGCCGCCCTTTGGAAGGAAGGATTTGGGGGTCCAAGAGGCGTTCAGACTCTCGGTCTGGTGTGCCCCAAATTCAGATGTGAAAATAGATCATAGGGATGCAATCCCAGGGCACTGTATTTCTCTCTTCCTTGGTACCTGGCACGCGACTCCCAGCTAACACCCAGTCACACACACTTCTACGTACTGTTTCTTAGTTTTGTTTTGGAATATTTAAGCAGTCAGCAAGACTTCTTATAAAAGCTGGTCGACGTACACTGAGATCAAATCCCACAACCCCATGGTGTTTCTGGCTCTGCCCTAGCAAGCCCGGGTCGACCTGTCCCGGGGCAGCCGCGGCAGCGCAGCTTGGACGGGCCCGGACACACGGTGCCTGCCCAGCCAGCAACGCTGAAGGTGCGTTTCCAGAGTGAAATAGTTCACTCCTCGGCAATTCGTCAACCTTTTGCTGGCTTTTAAATTTTCCTTCCACTTTCCAGTCCTGACAGACGGGGGCCAAAAGCAAACTCCTCAGGGGCTTAAACGCTCGGATTCCCGAGAAACGGCAAGTGAGAAAGGAGTTGCCGTTGTTCGAAGAAGGAGCGAGGAAAAGGTATTTGTCGAGGGAGCCCTGGATCTGTCTTCCTACCTGTTAGCAGAGAACAAAAGGGGGCTGGCATTTCCCGAAGCTAAAGGGCGCAGACAGCCACTTTCTCTGCTAAACAAACCAGTCCTGAGCACAGAACAAGAAAATTACATAGGGGGAGCAAGGGGAGCAGAGAGAAACAGAACCCAGATTATGCGGAAGGCATCTTAATTTAATTAACTCCTTGGGAAGGCAGAGGCGCTTTGAAGGGGCAGGAACTTCGCAGCCATTTCTCTATTCGTCTGATACAGTCTGGCCTTAAACAATTTTTTTCTTTTTAATGATCTCCTTAGATCTACTTAGTCTATAGCTCTCTGATTTATGTAAAATTCTGTTGTGGTTTGGGCTGAAATTTCAGCGAGCCTATCCAACCATCAATCATTTCTTTCAGATACAGATGCACAGGTTTTAGTAGATGAACGCTGACTGTATATTCTTTTTAGATAATGCAATGTAATAATACCATTACCAAAGAGCAAAACTCCTTATCAAGTTACTTCTTACCTTTTTTCCTCAATGTTTTGAGAGCTTCACTGAACTAAGTGTGTACACATCTCCCTTGTTGACAGCCAGTCAACTAAATTTTACAACGTTTCTCCACATGGCTGGAAATTCCTGTAAAGAAGACTGATGAAAGAAAAGTAGCCTCAACTCCACCAAAATACTTATGCCTCTTCATTAGTTTAAGTTATTTCCTTGCAAAATTAAAAGTAACCAGTGGTCTGAAACGGGATGGTGGAGAAATGACAGCAATGATCACTGTTATTTCCTGAAAGGGAGTGTGGGAACTACAGGGCTCAGCTCTAGACAAAACGAAAGTACTTTAGGATCTCTGCATTCGCTTAAAATACTTCTTTTGATATACATTTCCAGCAACTCAATGGGAGTGTGGAAACTTAAACTTCCGAATTATTTGTGGCAAGAGCCACTGGTGGATATTTAAGGTGGTTCTGTTTAAAAAAGGATTTTAAAGGGACCAATGGTCTGCCCTTCCCCTGTGAAGAAACTATCTGCCCTGCAAATTAAAACGTCCTATGAAATAGCACTTTTTTTTTTTTTTTTTTTTTTGGCCAACATGAACCTGCATTATACTAGTCGTTAATTTCTGTGTTATAAACCATTCAGAAAAAAAAGGAAAAAGATGGCACTGAACTTTGTGGCAGTGTAAACTTTATGGCAGAGTTCACTGTGCATTTGGAATAGAAGTCACAGGTCACAACAGTACTTTAGCTGACACCACTCCCCCCAACCTCTCCCCCCAACAACACATAATCCTGTGGTGGGAGTTGTGCTTTGCCTCCTGTATTTATTTCTAAGAAATCTAGTCTGGGAATACACCCAAATAATAATTTCGGTTTCCTCTCTATGGGAGAGAGGCTACTTTTCAACACTAAGGGAAAAATAATATTTTTAATCTCTGGAAAATCCTCATTACGCAAAGAGAAGGAAATAAAGGTGTAATTTGTTATTTTTAATTAAAAAGGAAATAATCAGATAGATTACAAGGAATGTTAGTAGAATCCTTTTTTCCTGCCTTCCTAAGAGAGGACTCGAGAGATGCCGCGGAGCAAAAATGAATCGTGATTTGTGGTGGGAAATCTGATTACTAATGGGAGTTTGCAGTTGTGGTTGAATGGTCTGACTGAGACCCTCTGACTGTTACACACCTCTCATTAACTCCTAGCTTGAACTCCCAGACCGCATACCACCCAGCCGAAGCGATTCGTTAATAAATCTCTGTCTCCAAGCCCTTCCAAACAGAGGAAGGTGTGGGCCCCGCCGAGGCAGCCAAATCGTGCCTAGCCAGAGCATTGTCATTAGTGTAGCCCCCTAAGTCGGCTCACAGATTGAACCGCAGACAAGGCGCTGCAGAGGACAACTCAGGCGCGGGAAGGGTTTAGGTGGGAAGGGAAGGCTGGAATCTTCTGCCTTCCCGCTGGGTTCAAACGCCAGGCCTGGCGGTTGTTGGCGCAGAGTGGCTGGGTTGCCCCTCTCCGGGACAAGTGCTTAGCTCTGACTCCTACACCTGGGGGGCGGCTCTCAGAAGGAAGGCCCTGGTCCCACGAGCTGGCAGAATCCCTTTCTAAAAAGGGGCTGGCAGTGGGAGAAGGTGGACCCACCGTGAAGGCAGGCGAGGTGCTCCCGAAGAACAGGGGTCTAAAATCGGACCTATGTTGCCATTGGGAGCACGGGGAGGGGGAGCGCCCTGCTTAGGCCCAGGCCGCAGACCCCAGACGGCGTCCTGGTGGCGGGAGCGCAGCCGCACTCACCTCCAGGTCGACAGACAAGGTTCCTGCAGGCCGGCAGGACCACCCTGTGCGTGGCCTACTGAGGGCTCTCCTGTAGCGTCTTTCTTCACCCTCGGCAGAGTGTCCTCTCTCCTCTCCTCCCTCTCTCCTCTCTCCGTCCTTTCTCGTCTCTCCTCGGCACCCGACTGAGAAGCAGTTGAGGAGCAGCCTGGGAAAAGGGATTTCGGCCTCAGGGACGTTCTCCGCCCCCACCCCACCCCTTAAGAGCCTGAACCATCTGGAAGGGATCTTGGTGGGGGGTTGGGAGGAGAGCCCCTGGATAGGAGGAGGGGGCGATTTTAGGCCCAATCCAGCCCATGAGGTGTCACTTTTCTTTCCTGTGGCCCGTCACCACTGATAAATGGGACTGAGGGCAAAGGAAGAGAAAAGAAAACCTCTGAGGTCAGTGTAGGGCGAGACGGCCCCTCCCAGAGTCCTCCAGCCCAGGAGGATGAAGCGCGCTGGCTGTACTCTCGCACGCCAGGTGCCGTCCAGGTAAACTCTGGAAAGGCGGCTGCAGGGCGCTGGATCCACAATCCACCCGTCAACCTATCGTTCCCTGCAGCTCAGAGCAGCAGCAGCGACAGAGGCTCTCTCCGGCCTGACAGCATTGTCGTTGCAGTTCTCTGAGCTTCGCCTGATGGGCTTGGGGAGGGTGGGCTGGGTTGGGTGCTGCCCCAATGTCCGCCTTTCGTTTTCCTGGTACCGAGGAGTCTTCCGCTCCGTGCCTCCCCAGAGTCCGAATCTGACCTTCCGTCCTCTGAGCGCCCTGAAAGGTTGCCGGGCGCTCGCTCTCCCGCAGAGCACTTCTTGCCCAGGCCCAGGGCTAATCTGCCTGTGGATTTGAGCAGGTGCTACGGGGTCCCCTCACTGCTTCTTTCGGGGGGGTCTTGGAGTCGGGTGGGGAGGGAGACTTAGGTGTGGTAACCTGCGCGGGTGCCAAAGGGCAGAAAGAGCAGCTTTGAATTATACTCACTATCGCTTCCTCTCTTCCCTGTCGTTTTTAGAGATTTCTCTACGTGCTGTTGTCTCACTGGGTTTTTGCCGGAGCCCCAAGCTCTCCCGCCTCTGAGTCCTGGAAGAAAGGAGTGGTCCCCTCAGCTCCCCAGCATCCTGGAAAATGGGGAGCAAGGCCCTGCCAGCACCCATCCCGCTCCACCCATCGCTGCAGCTCACCAATTACTCCTTCCTGCAGGCCGTGAACACCTTCCCGGCTGCGGTGGACCACCTGCAGGGCCTGTATGGTCTCAGCGCAGTGCAGACCATGCACATGAACCACTGGACGCTGGGGTATCCCAATGTGCACGAGATCACCCGCTCCACCATCACGGAGATGGCTGCGGCGCAGGGGCTTGTGGATGCTCGCTTCCCCTTCCCGGCCCTGCCTTTTACCACCCACCTATTTCACCCCAAGCAGGGGGCCATTGCCCACGTCCTCCCAGCCCTGCACAAGGACCGGCCCCGTTTTGACTTTGCCAACTTGGCAGTGGCTGCCACGCAAGAGGATCCTCCTAAGATGGCAGACCTGACCAAGCTGAGTCCGGGGCTGGGAGGCCCCATCTCAGGCCTCAGTAAATTGACTCCGGACAGAAAGCCCTCTCGAGGGAGGTTGCCCTCTAAAACGAAAAAAGAGTTTATCTGCAAGTTTTGCGGCAGACACTTTACCAAATCCTACAATTTGCTCATCCATGAGAGGACCCACACGGATGAGAGGCCATACACGTGTGATATCTGCCACAAGGCGTTCCGGAGGCAAGATCACCTTCGGGATCACAGGTGAGTCGGGCAAGGAGGATGGCAGGGAGAGGGAAAGCGAATTTGTCCTGGATACACTAAGTCCTATAGACATTCCAAGTATCATTTATAATCCCCTGTGATCTAGAATACGCCCTCAAACACGCTCCGCAGCCCGGTTCAGCTAACTCCCAACATCTACCCTTTTCCCCAACACCCTGCGCCTGCTGTGTTCTTGTTTGGGATGAGGGAGGGACTTTCCTCAGTCTTGGGGAGGAACATTCCGGTGGGGTCTTAGTCTTGGGAGGGTTATCCTCTCTCCTCCTGGTGCTGTGGGGAGTGGTACAGGAAGAACTGACGGACCCTGTGGTACCTGTTCGGGCTGCCGTCTGGCCACCTTTGTGGGGTTTCCTCCCTCCCCTCACCCCTCCTCAAGCTTCCCCCCACCCAGGTACGCCCCAGAGCCTGCCACAGGAAACCTTCTTTTAAGAATTTGTGGGTTGGGGGGGTGTCTTGAGGTCACCTAATTTACAAACAGCTCCCACATCCCTTCCACGACCTTAAACTCTGCATTAATACAATGCAATTGAAGACATACAATAATGTAAGCGTTGTCATTGGGTAAAACTTCTCAGGAATGGGGGAGTTCTTTTTAGGGGATCTCTTCTGGACTCTACCTACTATTCTTTGGAGATGAAACTTCCGTACTCACCCTCCAAGGCTGTTAAGGGATTCACTAAAATTAGCACCTCTAAACTCAGCCTTGCGATTTGGCCAGTTTAAATCCCAGAGAAAACCTTGGAGGCCAAGAAAGGCTCAGTCAGAGGGATTTCGAACTCCAGAATATGGCAGAGAAGGCGATCAAGTGTAGATAAAGCCCTGCGGGCTGGTGAATATTTTGAAGAGAATCTGTTAGTTGAGGTTAACCATAAACAGAATTACATAGGGGAAAAAAAAATCCTAAAATGTAAATGAAAATCTTGTTTCTTCCATGACTTCTTTTTTGATTAATTGTTAAAAGTAACTCTTCACCATCGGGGTAAGTTTATTTCAATGAAACCTTATATTAATTTGCAGGTATATCCATTCCAAAGAAAAACCCTTCAAATGTCAGGAGTGTGGGAAAGGATTTTGTCAGTCCAGAACTCTAGCAGTTCACAAAACTTTACACATGCAGGTAAGCTTGGCTTCTTGTTCTAAAACAGTGGCTGGTTCATTTTATCATTATTGCTTTACAAAAGGTGTTCAATGGCAGAATCTTTCTCTCAAAAGGCTCTATTTAGATTGGTTCTCTAGGTGGGGTAAAGCAGCCCTCTTGATTTTTTTAATACATAAAATTAATCTTAACATAAAGCATTTTAAAATATTTCTTAAAGAACAGGCCACTTTGATTATCATAAATCCTAATTTTAGAAATTTTTTTTCATTCAATCTGCCCTGTATTTAAAGCTTTCGTGTTTAGGAGGAAATAAAGGTAATTTTGATAATGGAGGCATGGAGAAATCCCATACTCTCTCTTTCCCAGGGGCCTCATAATTTGTAGCTTTCAGGACATTGAGGAATAGTTTAGTTTTCCAGCAAAGAGGAGCCTTGTTACCCAGGAGAATGTAATTCCTTAAGAGAGGATTAGAGCTTTTCCTTCCCGCTTTTCCTGCCTATGACATGGTGATGAAATGTGAAGAGCTGGAAATCACAAAGCCCACCGAGGTGGCCTCGGGTCTGCCTCCGAAGTTATCACTGTAATTGGCCTCTGTTTATGCCTGCACGTGTGTTTTCATGATTGGAGGATTAGGAGCACAGATTTGTTCCTGCAAGTCCCCTCTTTTGTTGTCATGCGAGTGTTATGTTAACGCTTGTGATACCGATAAGACAGAAGCTATTGAAAAGGGTGCAGTGGTGGTGTGAAGGATTAATCCTTTGCTTGCTTCACATCTGAACAGGAATCTCCACACAAATGTCCCACATGTGGAAGAACCTTTAATCAGAGAAGTAATCTGAAAACTCACCTTCTCACCCATACAGACATCAAGCCCTACAGCTGCGAGCAGTGCGGCAAAGTGTTCAGGCGAAACTGTGATCTGCGGCGGCACAGCCTGACTCACACCCCGCGGCAGGACTTCTAGAGAAGCCCAGGATCTGTCCCGTGCCGCCGCTGCTCCCCTCCCCAGACACCTCTCTACGTCTCCTACCTGGGAGGTCGCACCCCTAGCCCTTCACTGACCCCAGCTCTTCCCTTGCTGCAGCCGCACCTGCAGCTCCAGGGAGTTAACTCTTCTTCTAGGGGACTGAGAACTGTAGAAAGCCACACACTACATCCCTTCACAAAGAGTATATGCTAGTTTCTTGTAGATATTCACAGCTCATTTTAGAGCTCTGTACATAATGTTGTGGGCCTTTGTTTTCTTGTTTTGTTTGTTTTTGTATCTTGTCGGATGCACCTAGATATGGAAAATGGAAGCCAAATTTTATCTTTGAAGACTGTATTTTCAAAATAAAACTTTTTCTTGTTTGTTTCAACACTCCTGCAAAGGTGTCTTGCTATTTCAATTGTTTTTCCTCCAGATTCTGGAAGAGTGGGCTGCCTCTATAGAATTCAATACTAAAAGGTATTCTTTATCCCTAGGTTTAAAAAATAGGATTTCTCAGAATTCTTATTCTGCAACTTCAGCCCTTCCCTTTTTGTATGGTGGCATTTTGGAATTAGAGAATTGGGCTGTTTCTTTGTTTTTCAAAGATATTAAAGCATTAATGCCCCTGAGTTTTTTATCCCCTTTTGTTTATTTTGATTCCTTGTGTATTATTCCTTCAGATAAATGCAATATCTTAATATAACATGCAACTTTCATGGTTGTCCCACTTCAAAGTACAGCATGGGAAGAAGCAGGAAGCATAGAAGAGGTGAGAGCTTCTTGCCACCTCATTTTTGAAAAGTCCTTGGCCTATTGTTACAGTTTATGATGGGCAAATTCTCTTACCATTAGACTTTGAACACTATGATTTATCACTATAGACAGAGACTTTATCCTGCCTTTAGGAGAGAAGTCTAAAATCCTACAGAAGTGTACAGGAAGATACGACCTTCGAGAAGATGGGAGAGAAGAGGAGAAAAGAGAAACCACTTAGCTATGTTCACAAAATATTTCTTTGCAAGGGTGGGGATCCTTTCTTCTAGAAGGTTAGGATTTCTCTGCAAAGGAAACTGAGGTTACCAGTGAAGTTTCCATCACTGGATGGTTTTTGTCCCTGGGAAAATGCCAGAAGTGCTGGTTACTCCATGTATAGAGCTCATGGCGAATATGTAATCACCTTCTGAAGCATTGCAACTTTTCCTAAATGGTTCCCGGGAAACGTGACTCTAGTACAGTGACAAGCCTGAAGTATAGTGTAGGGTTTAGTTGGATGGCTTTGGAAGGAGAAAAAGGGTAGTACTATGCAGAGACTCGAAGGAAAGTGATTTAGCTTAAAGGGGGAATGACAGAGGAACCTGTGGCCCAGTAGGCTCTCACAAACTGTTTCTTATGGAACAATAGGGTAAACAAGGCATTATCAAATTTTTTTAAAATGTGTATATTTGTGTAGAGATGGCATATTTTACTTTCAGAGTGATTCCAAGCAACACATCCTATATTTGTACTTAAGAATCTTCCAGAAAAATAGAGACTTGAGGACTAGACTCAAAATTGCTCCACAGTACTTTGTTCAACACAACTTACTAAGAGGTTTCAAATAGTGTTCCTGACTAATTGCTTGCTCTGCTTTCAGAGGAGCTGGCTAGAAGCCATATTTATCTCTCACCAGAGATTAATTCTCTGCGACAAAATGTCCACTCACCAGCCTGTGTGCCTAATGCTCACACAAATGCATTCCCCAGCATGGGATGAGCTCAAAGTCTTCCTGAGGAGTAGGGGCAGGGATGGAGTATGGAGTGCATGTGCTTGTGTTATTTAGAGGAATGAAACAGCTGTTTACTTTCTTTTGTTTGTACAGAATTAACTCAGTTACCTCCCTGCCCCTCCTCTCTCAAGATCCTGCCTGCTTTGGTACGGAAGATTTGAATACTTTAGAGCAGAGTTAACATTGACTGTCCCTAAAGCCCCCGTAATCCTGCAGGCTTTTTCTACATAGTCAATCTCACAGCCCCACCCACCCCCACTGACTACAAGTGTCACAGTTCCATCACACAGGGTTCAGTCCAATTATCAAAGAATGACCCTTGCTCGCTATCAAGCTGCAGGCATATCCTTGAAGTCCCTATTACAGGAATACATAGGTAGGTGTAAACAGAAAACTGTTTCTCTCCATTTGTTTTAGTTGAAGAAATGGGAATCAGAAGGGAAAGAAGAAGAAGAGAGGAGGAAGTGGAGAAAGCAGTTCCCCATCTGATACACATACTATTTAAAAAGTTTAGGTTAATTTATTTGTAATTAATTTATTTACTCATTAATTTAATAAACGTTTATGTTTTTCATGTGTCAAGCCCTGTGCTAGGTTCCACTGATTTTCATGATCAGTTTCTGCCTTTCTATAACTAGTGACACATTCTTGGAATCTTGGCTACTTAGATAATTTAAAAACCTGTGATAGGGCTAATTTAGCAGCTCCCCTAAATCTAGACTCTTAAATCCAGCATTCATCTAGGCTCAGAAAGGAGCTTCTGTCAGGGTAGACTCTTTCTACACACTCTTCATGATCTTAGGTGAACTTTTTATTTTTATTTTTATTTTTAAGATGGAGTCTCATTGCTCAGGCTGGAGTGCAAGTGGCACAATCTTGGTTCACTGGAACCTCCACCCCCTCGGTTCTAAATGATTCTCCTGCCTCTCAGCCTCTCAAGTAGCTGGAACTAAAGGTGCCCGCCACAGTGCCCGGCTAATTTTTGTATTTTTTGTAGAGATGGAGTTTCACCATATTGGCCAGGTTAGTCTCAAATGCCTGACCTCAAGTGATCCACCTGCCTTGGCCTCCCAAAGCACTGGGATTACAGGGGTGAGCCACAGCACCTGGCCAGGTGAACCTTTAAATGGTGAGTTCCTCTCAAAATTCTGGGTTTTGTTTTCTTCTTCTTTAGACTGTTCAAGTGTACAGAAAATAAATAAATTTATGAGACATCATAGGGAAAATACCCTGTATCTTAGGAAATTGATATGCTGGTTTTTTTGGTTCAGAGAAGAGTCATTATTTGAGTTTTAGATTAGCCTGTGTTTTTTTACACTCCTTACCATAGTCAACTCATGAATCAATGCTCCTAGCAAGAGACCAGGAGTTGGAAATATCACGCGTCATAACCACAGCACTGAAGAGCTTCATGAACAAGTTAGGTATTTACTCTTGAGCTGTGACTGTAATCTCATTGTGTAGTCTATGCAGTAAGGCTTTAAAAATAATTTCTACAAATGAATTACATTATAATCAATTGTCATTATAAAATTACTAATGTGTGTTAGGTGCTCTTACTGATGCCAACCTTGAAATGTAGGTCATTGTAGTACTAGTGCTTTATAATTGTAGCAATTAAAATTGCTATTTTGCACAGGCACACCCTTTTTTACATGAGGAAGCGTTTTAAAAATTTGACTGTAGAACAACTAAATACTTAAAAAGTCAACAAATCAAAACTCTCAAATTATAAATAGGCCCAACTACCACTAGTGATAAAACCACAGGTGGTTACTGGGAGTTTCATCTGTTCACCTGTTGATGTTAGCACAGGCATTTGGACCTCTTAAATAATGTTCGATCAGATACTTTTACCCCAGCTTTGATTCTGGAGGGGCAGCCTACCCTTGAAAGGCACTTGGGAAACATTAGTGCTTGAAGATCATCAGCATGACGAAATAGATGCATTTGCGCTAAACAGTGTGTAGAATCAACAGCAAATTTTGATACAAGAAAAGTATTAGCATAATGGGTTGCCTTTCTTATTATCAAACTAATTTTAATATTATTATAATAAGGAAAGATTTAAACAATTGAGGACCCCATATTATGCACTGCAAATAGGAATGACTTTTGTATTTTAGGAGTTTATTCGTGTTTGCCTTTATTAGTATGTTATATTGAGACTGTGTTTCTCAATTTTTCCTTCTATAGTGTAAGTTGTCACTGATAACCACCTCTGCTGACAGCAATGAGCAATAAAGGGTGTGGAGATTCAGAATGATTCAGCTTTGATGACCTTAGATATTTCAAGTTCATTCCTGTTTCTTTTTTTTATTGCTTGTTGTTTTTTTCCCCCAACACAAGCCACCTTATTATTTATGCTATGTAACTTTTTCTCTTGAAACTATCCCAGGCAAAAACTGATAGTGAAAAACTGTAAATGACCTTATAGTCCATTAAGAGGAAAAGTTTTAAGTAAATTATCATGCTATATCTGTTAGAATGTTTTCTACTGCATAGAACAGAAAACCCACCTAAAAGGGGCTTAAGTAATAGAGAATTTATTTTCTTTTTCTTTTCTTTCTTTCTTTTTTCTTTTTTTTTTTTTTTGAGACGGAGTTTCGCTCTTGTTATCCAGGCTAGAGTGCAAGGGCGCGATCTCGGCTCACCTCCGCCTCCTGAGTTCAGGCAATTCTCTTGCCGCCTCAGCCTCCCGAGTAGCTGGGACTATAGGCACGCACCACCATGCCCAGCTAATTTTTGTATTTTCAGTAGAGACAGTGTTTCACCATGTTGACCAGGATGGCCTCGATCTCTTGACCTCGTGATCCACCTACCTCGGTCTCCCAAAGTGCTGGGATTACAGGCGTGAGCCACCGCGCCCAGCTGGGAATTTATTTTCTTACATGACAAAAAGTCTCAAAGTAGGGTCCAGGGATGCATAATTAATTGGAGTGTCACGATCAACTAGAGTCCAATTCTTCCTACTTCTCTGTTCTTCCATCTTTAGTGTGTATGCTGGGCTTCCTCTATGGCCACAAAATGGCTGACGGTGCCAAGCACTAGCTCTGCTGCCTCCTCCTTACACACATTCCGTAAGCAGAAAAAGGGATTATGTCTTCCTTCTATCACTTTTAAGGAACTAAGAATCTCTTTCACGAATCTAACATATAGATTTGCCCTTATATCTTATTGGTCAGAAGTATGTCAGGTGCCCCTTCCTCAGCCAATCACTGATAAGGGGAATAGAATTGTACCATGATTGGCTTAAACTAAATAAAAAGTCACCTTTTTTGAGTGGAAATGGAGTCAACCTTCGAGCCTGAAGCCCTTGACCACCTGAACAAACCTGAGTTCTCTTAGCAGGAAAGAAAGGAGAACTGGGTATTGTTAATATTAGGCAGATGTTTAAAATGAAGTTTCCATTAAATACCTTGTGTTAGAATATGTTGATGTTAGACAAGGGATGCTTAAAGGCATAAACAGTATTATCTCAACTGTATAAAACAAACAACACCTTTCAAAAACTAAGCAGAAATAAAGACTAGCAGAAAATATACCAAAATGTTAACAGCAACTTCATGAGTGACAAACTAAGGGCACATTTTTCTTCTCCTTTTTAAATTTTTCAACCCTTC